ACCTAGCTGCCCCTCATGCACTTTCTAATGACTTCTGTCTAATGTTCCTTTAAAAATCTGTTCCCAGTAGCCCTTATGAATTTTCCACAGCAGGATCTCTGTCCAGGTCTCTTTGTTGCTGGCCTCAATACTACCCAGGCTGACCTCTGAACTATAGCTTTGAAATACATCATCCTAACTAAAGCAGCTACCATATATCATTGAATGTGACCTGAGTTTCAATGTTTAAAATACTTGCTGAGGCTGTTCAAAGGAAACATCCTATAAATATGAACCTAAGTAAATGGTTCCTTTTTTGCTGTTCTGCTAGTCCATTGCCCTGTGATTCAGATTTCCTTGACTATAAAATAGAATGATGCTTGGCTATTTACTATCTGAATGTTGCATAGGGATTCACAAAATCAATGGTCACCTCATCCTGTGAGCTCAATGAGCTCTTTTCCCTCCGAGGGAAAAAAAGATGTAATATAAATGTAGTTAACTTCAGTTTATCTGAGGTGGATGCTATATCAGGTTTTACTGGGCAAATGCTGTTCTCAAGTTTGTTGACAGCCTCTAATTGGTTAATTTAATTACTTGGTCTTTTGACATCTTTTGCTCCTGCCCTTTTCTTTGCTTAGTCTATAGGCAAGCCCTTTGAAAACTCAACAATGATTTTTTTTTTTTGATCAAGTGTAGCTTTACTTAGGTTGGTGCTTTGAGGGGGTCCCTCTTTCTTGAACTTACTAAGTATTACTTTGGAAATACTTAGTTTTTATTTATATAGATACATATTGTGTTTGCTAGTACAATCTAAGCTTCTAGAGGGCAGGGACTATTTTGCTTTTGTCTTATTCTCGAGGCTAAGAAGCAGTGTTTTGAAAACAGGTGCTTAATTGATGTTTATATAACTGCCCCATCTGACCCCACCTAGCTTTGATCCCCAATTGTTGCCTTTATACTAAGGCACTTCAACATACATAATTATGTGCCTTAAAATATCTCAATTTCACCCAGGAACTCTATGAACACAATTACAAAACACTTTTCACGCAAATAAAGTCAGATCTAAATAATTGGAAAAACATCAGTTGCTCATGGGTAGGCCAAGCTAATATAATAAAAATGACAATTCTACCTGAGCTAATTTACTTATTCAGTGCCATACCAATCAAACTACCAAAAAATTATTTTATAGAGTTAGAAAAAATAATAATAAGAGTCATTTGGAAGAACAAAATGTCCAGAATATCAAGGGAACTAATGAAAAGAAATGCAGGGGAAGGTGGCCTAGCCATTCCAGATCTTAAATTATATTATAAAGCAGCAATCATCAAAACTGCTTGGTACTGGCGAAGAAATAGAATGGTGGATCAGTGGAATAGGTTAAATATGCAAGACACAGTAGTCAATGACTATAGGAATCTATTATTTGATAAACCCAAAGACCCCAGCTTCTGGGATAAGAACTCACTCTTTGACAAAAACTGCTGGGAAAACTGGAAAAGAATATGGCAGAAAATATTCCAATTTCCTTCCCACTTCTTCATTCCCATGACCTTTCCTCCACTGGACTTCAGATACACATAGGGATGGTCATATCTTGGCCAAACTCACAAGTGTTCTATTTCCATGTCCCTCATATCATCAGATAATCTTTAATCATTCCATCTTTACCTAAGTCTTAATACTCCTAACCCTATTCCCTGACTTTATTGTGACCTCCAATCCCTCTATCTCTCAGTACTTTCCCAGGCTCTCCCCATTACTCTGGCTACACTCTCTACCCTTCCCACTTTTGATTACTTTGTGAACCAGTTCAACTCTACTAGCTATCCCCTATTCTCAATCCCTTACCTCCTTGTTTTATCAAAGATCATACCTTGTCAGACCAAACCCTGGACTATTCCCACCATTTATTTATGTGCTGCTTAAAAGGCTGAATCAGTAACAAAACTATACTGACAATGTCCACTACAAATTTGTTATCTGATCTTAACTGGTCCCTCACTCTAGCAGGCAATTCTTCCATAGCAACTATTCCAAACTTCCTTTCTCCTCAAACTTCTTACACCATTGCCTTCCCCACCCTCTCGGCTGCAGAACTCAGTTGAAAATAATGGCTATTCACTGAGAGCTCATTTTCATCTCCTATCCCTCTGACTTGACCCCCTCATTATCTCCACCTTTGGGAAAAAAATAGCCTTTCTCCTCTACAAGGTCAACTCATCTATGTGTACCCTTGGTCCCTTCCCTCCATCTTTTCTAGTATGTGCTCAATTTCTTACCTTCAATCTCTGTCTCCTGGTTCCTTTCCTATTATTTACTAACATGCTTAATGAAATGTCCCCTAGTCTTAAAAAAAAGTCTTCCATCTATCTTTGTATATCTTTCTTCCTTCCCTTCTCAGCTAAACTCTGAAAAAGCTGCCAACAATCAGTGCCTCCATTTCTTCCCCTTTAATTTGTTTCTAGTCAGGCTTCCAACCTCATCAGTCAACTGAAACTTCTCTCTCCAAAGTTACCAGAGATCTTCCATTGGCAAGTCTAATGGCTGTTTCTCAATCGTCAACCCTGGACCTCTGCAAGTGCTGATGCCTTTCACGTTTTTCCTCTTTGGATATTCTCTCCTCTAGGGATTTTTCTGACATTGCTCTCTCCTGGTTCTCCTCATTTCTTCTGATTGTTCCTTCTCAGGCTCCTTTGCTTGATCTCTACCCACTGGGGTGTTCCCTAAGGCTCTGTTCTGGGCCCACCTTTTTCCTCTCTATACCTTCTCACTTTTGGATCTAATCAGTCCCTCTAAGTTCAATTGTCACCTCTAGGAAGATTTCTAGATACATGTTGCACATAAATGTACACACATGTATATGTATATAAGTGCATGTTGATAATGTGTACAGACACATACACATATAGATACTATATATAGATATCAATATATAGATATTGATATATATCGATATAGATATCTCTATCTGCAGCCTAGTTTATCTCCTGAGCTCTAGTCCCACATTGTTGTTGTTCAGTCATGTCTGTTGAGGTTTAGAGGTGCTGGGACCTCAAAATCACAACATGGGGGTCCTGCCCGAATGAATTAGACCCAAGCCTTCTTTCAGCCAAAGAAAAGGTTTATTAGAACATCCATCATAGTGGCCAGACTCTTTAGGAGTCTGAACATTACTGAGCCATTGGCTAGATTATGAGTCTGGGGTGCCTGGAGAAGTGGTCTAAAGAGGATCTGGATGGGAGTGGCCAGTAAGCTAGGGTGAACAGAACACCAGGAACCTGGACCATGAGGTCAAGGGAGAATGAAGCCTAGATAGGATTAAGGGTGGGAAGTGTCTAGGGGCAATTGGAAGGTAGCAGAACAGAATTGGGAGGTTGGGCGCAGCCACAAAGAAAGGCCAGTTGAGTGGGTTACAGCCTCAGGCAAATGCCAGAGATTTGGGAAAAGTCCAGGGATTTTCTTTTTTGGGGTCCAGATCCCAAAGACATGGTCTTTTCCTTTTAGGGTTTCAGATCCCATCCCCATCAATGTCCTACTCTTTGTGACCCCGTGGACATGGACCATACTGTCCATGAGATTTTCTCGGCAAAGATACTGGAGTGGTTTGCCATTTCCTTCTCCATCAGATTAGGGTAAATCGAGGTTAAATGATTTGTCCAGTGTCATACAGCTAAGGTCTGAGGTGGGATTTGAACTCAGTTCTTCCTGACTCTGGCCCAGCACTCTATCCACTGAGCTGCTTAGCTGCCTCATTCCAATCACCAATTGCCTAATGGACTAGAGGTCCTGTAAGTATTTCAAATTCAACAAGTCCAAAAATGTTCTTTCCCCTCATATCCATTCCTCTTCTGATGTTTCCTATTACTATTGAAAGCACCACCATTTTCCCAAACAAGTAGGTTCCCAATCTTGGTATCATCCTTGACCCTTCACTCTCACTTATTCTAGATATCTAAATTGTTGCTAAACCTTATTGTTTCTATCTCCATAATATTGCTTATCTATACCCTCTTCTCTCTCTACTCTCACAACCATCAAGTTAGCTCAGGCCTTCATGCCCTCTCACTTGGACTATTGCCCTTCTCAGTGATCTCTGTCTCAACAGTCTCCCTGTGGCATCTTCTACACAGGGGCCAGAGATTTTTAAAGGCAGATCTGCCCACGTGATCCCCCTACTCATTTAAACTCCAGTGGCTATCTATTGCCTTTAGGCTCAAATATAGTCTGTTCTGTTTGGCCATTTAAAGCTCTTTAAAACCTGATCCTTTTCTATTTTGCTGGTCTTCTTACACATTACTCCCCTCACGAATTTTAAGGCCACAGTGGTTTATGGCTTATTAGGGTTAAGCACGTAGAAAAGAAAAACAAAACCAGAGACCTTGTTCTCTAGGGGATCCCATTCTAATGTGGGCGATAATATGCAAATAAGTATGCATAAGATATATAGAATAAATGGGAAAGGCCTCAGGTATAAAGGTGGAGTTTGGTCTGGGAAGCCTAGAAGTACATGAGAAAAAAGAGCAGTTCAGAAAAGCTAGCTTCGTCCACCTCTGGGCTAGCTGTCAAGGTTAACAGAGCATTTTCTAAGATCTTCTTTGGGCTTAGTTGAGGGAAGGGGGCTATTGGCCTTTCCGCAGTGAGAATGCATTCTAGGAGGGTCCTTCCTGGACCTTCCCTCCTTCTGAATCCAGGAGCTCCCAGCAAAGGTACTTATATTTCTTAATGTCCCACCGTGTGGGGCGAGGCGGTGAGAGGGGGAGAAAAGAGAAAAGAGGAAGATCAGGGAAATGGAGGAGAATGAAGCAAATCCTGTGCTCTTGATAGTCGCCTGCTGCTAGCAACCAGCATTCTAGACGCTTCCTAATGCCAGACAAATGCCGCCGTGCCTGGGCATGTCTCACTTGGAGATCTATTCAGCTGATACGGGGCGAGGAAAGAACCGGAGGGAGAACTCTCCCCTTGCTAATCAAACGTAACATTGTTCTCAGGAGGGATCTAAGGATGTAAAAGTTTGTTTCACATGCTACAACTGAAGAGTTGCTTGCTTTAACTCTTTTTAAAGAGACACCCAAGTTGCTACAAAACCCCGGCTTCCTTGGGTAAGGCTATTATGCAAATCCCGGGGGGGGGAGGATCAGAGTACCAGTTATTTAAATAAATAAATAAAAGCCCCAGGCACTTCATTACTGGAAATGATGCAAGATGCTCCCACTTCACCGGGAATGTAAAACCAAACAACTCTGGGGCGGTGTATTACAGCTGCTGCTTTCCAAAGGGAGCCTGAAACCTACCAAGCCAAAGAACTCTGCATCTTACCTTTTCCCTCCTCCCTAGCCCAGCCAGGAGCATGGCAACAAGCAGCTATGACGTGCGTGTGTGTGTGTGTGTGTGTGTGTGTGTGTGTGTGTGTGTTCGTGTGTTTTGAAAGGAGGGCTTTACAACACAATGAAATAGAAGATTTTTCTCTGCAACCCTGCTCTCTAGAGTCCCCTAGTGGCCACCATGGGAGTATTACTGATGTGCTGCAAAGCACGCGATTCAGTGTTTCCACCTTTCTCGGCTGCAGGAAGGAAGGTAAGTCAGTCTTCTTGGATGGGGGTGGGGAATGGATGTGTGGGGGAGGGGAAGTGGAGCTATGGAAGGAAGGATGATCTAAACCCAGAAGAAGTTTGGAAAGCTTGGGCCAGGGTTGCTGGTTTGTTTGTTTTTTTTAAACTTAACAGTTTTTACCAGACAAGAAGAGAATCAGATTCACCTGCATACACCAATGTTGGAACAGTGGATTCTACCTGGTGACTCCAGAAGGACGGAATCCCTGCCAGCGCTGGACCTGGCTTTTTCCATTTTTATCTCGCATCAAGATTTTGCAGCTTAGTTTCTTGGGGTCCTGACTAATTTGCATATTTGCCTTCCAGCTGGTCTGACCTAAGGAATGCTTAGGTAGGATTTAAAGGCAGCCCGAGGAAAGCAGGGAAACCTCTCCCTCCCCCACTTTTACCGAGCTCTTGGGCTTGTGGGGGTAAACACATTCAGATGCTACTGGATGAGCTGGATTGGTAATCCCTCCGAAGTTAACCCTTTTCTCACAAAAGTTGGGCTTTATTTGTTTGGTGGTGCTGCTCTTTCTCCATCTAGCATATTTCAACTGAGAAGTCTAGGAAAAGAAGTTCAGACAGACTACCTACTAAATATACATCTTATTGAGACCTTTATTTCTGTTTATTTAAAGAAGATAAAGTGGTGTTTGTGAGCAGGTCACTTTAGATGGCCCCAGTCCTGGGATAAAGTCTAGGCTTGTTTAATATTGAGTTGGAGTATTTTTAAAGAGGAATAATAGTGCTGAGCAACAGGTCAAACAGTGTTAGAAAGAGATACTTATATTTAAGGCTAATTGCTTTCTAAACTGTTTTCAAAAGACAACGGTGAAAAGAGGTGCTCTAGTGGACAGAGTGGCTTAAAGCTTCTCTTCTGACACCATGTCTATAGGCCAGTTACTTAACCTCTAAACCTCAGTTTTCTCACTTGTAAAATGGGGGAAGAAATCGCGATTGTACCTACCTCACAGAATTGTTATTAAAAAATGTAAAGTGCTTTGCAAACTTGCTTAATACAACATGAGCACCTACCAGGCACTATGTGTTTATTGAAGTTGAATGTAAATTCTCATTTTTAAAGAAGCTAGATTGGATTATATCTTAAATTTGGAAAGTACTTATATTGAAGACAAAAATGTTTACATCTCTGAATGAGTAGTTTGATAACTAACTAACAGCAGTATAACTATACACAAGTATAGGACAAGAATCTAAAAATAATACTTTCTCCAATAGATACTATAGGACTTTTTCTAACCGGAACTGTGGTGAAGACACTGAAAAGGTTTACTTTCTTACCTTTCCAATTGGTGTTATTGAATCGTGAAGGTGTGCTAGTGATGACATGTTCCATGTTTCATTTATAAAGATTATATTTCCATCTTTCCATCACTTCATCAAAAGAGATAATATTTGTAAATCACCCAGACCAGTGCCTGGCACATAGTAGGCACTGAATAAAGACTTATTCCCTTTCCCTTTAGAGAGGCAGCCATGGATAGAGGATACTGTATCTTCAGAGCTAGGAAGACCTGGCTTTACAGTCCTGCCCCTGAGAAGTACTGGTTGTGTGACTGGGCAAATCATTTAACCTCATAGTCCAGTAGGCCAGAGGAATCAAAGACCCAGCCCATGTGACCTGCAACACTATGGAGACCAGTTGAACCAAATTAAAATGTAATTGGGAAATATTTAATAAATAAATATACAACAAAACAATGTTAATTTGTGTTTTTCTAAGTCAGTATGTGGTCTGCAAGGAGAGTTTAATGGTCCTATTTCTGTTTGAGTTTGACACCACTAATTGTTGAAAAGGGTATAGGAATACCTGCCAAAACAGATACGGGAACTGTATGAACAAACCAAAAAAATACTTTTTATACAAATAAACAGATCTAAGAAACTGAAGTAATATTTATTGTTCATGGGTAGGTAAAGCCAATATAATTTAAAAAATGACAACCTAATTATTTATTCAATGTCATCCCAATTAAATTACTAGAAAATTATTTTATTGAGTTAGAAAAAATAATAAAGTTCGTTTGGAAGAACAAAAAGTCAGGAACTTTAAAGAAACAGGGAAAAAAGATGTAACTGAAGTAGATTCAGCAGTATCATACCTTAAACTATATTATAAGGTGAGAGCATTGTTGAAATGTAAAAAAAATTTTTTTAGATTTATTTTATTTTTAGGCAATTGCAGTTAAGTTACTTGCCCAGGGTTACACAGCTAGAAAGTGTCAAAGTGTTTGGTCTGAGACCGGATTTGAATTGAGGTCCTCCTCACTTTAGGGCCTGTGCTCTATCCACTGCGCCAACTAGCTGCCCCAAAAAGATAATTTTTTTATTATTTTAAATCAAAATTTTTCTTGTATAAATAAAACCTATGTAGCCAAGAATAGAAGGAATACAGAAAATTGGGGGAAAAAAACTTTCATAGACAATCTCTCAGATAGGATGTGATTGGTCAGAATATTGCTATGGTGTGGGAAATGAGCTGGTTGATTTAGAAAAATGTGGAAAGACTTCGACTTATTAAGGAAGATGCTATCTTCAGAGAAACAGATGATAGGAGAAAATAAGCATAGTATGGTCTTACATATATGTATGAGTGTCTGTATATATGTATATAGATATCTGTATATGTGTGTATATGTACACACATGTACATATATATATATATACATACACACACATATATATCCATGCTTAATTGTAGCCTTCTTTAGGGTGGTGAGGGGAGGGACGGGGAAAAATAAAGTAAAAAGTACATAGAGAACAAAGGAAAACCAACAAGGAAGCAAAGAAAAACTGGGAAGCTTTGAAAACTATGTGTAGTATTATATAGGTTTTCCTGAAATGGAAACTTATTGTTTTATATTGAATCCTCTCTTGTGGTCTGCTGTGTACATGGCAATGTTTTTTTTTCTTTTCTCATTTTGTATTTAAGTTTAAAATAAAAAAAATTTACAAAAAAAAGAGAGAGAAAGAAAAAGGTAGAGTAAGTTACCTCAGCTGGATGTTCTCTCTCCCAATGAAATCTCAGGTCTAGCCCCTATCCCTATCCATCACTTTAAGGGGAATCCCTTTCTAGCTTTAAAAATTCTGTAATCTATAAGACAGAAAAATTCTGTTGAATCAGTTACACTACTTGGAGTCTGTCAAGGTGTTTTTTCAGCATTGTATTTCCCCAAATGTGGTCTAGATAGTCTTCAAGTCATCCATACTTAATGAGTTAGAAGTCCTCAAAACTTGGTGACTTAAATATTCACATTTATGACTATTCTAAATACAGTTTCCTTCCAGTTCATCAGCTTCCTCAACTCCCATGGTCCCTATCTCCATTCTATTTAATGTACTCATAGGGGATAGTCGCATCTTAAATCCCCACCATCACCTGAAACTGTTCCACCTCCCCTCATTGATTACAATCTCTTATTCTACCTTTCTCATGGTTTCATTCACTACTCCAAAACCTGATTTTTGTCCTTACTGCAAGTACTGTCTTATTCCTTAGTCCTCCACAGGTCTTCCAGCCTATTATCCCTATTCTTACCCTTGATTCTCTTACCCCTTTGTCTTTTCACTATTTATATACCCTTTAGCCCAGTTCATCCCCACCATTTACCTTTTCTGTGCCTACATGCTGTTAGAAGAAGTCAGGAAACTTTATGGATTAAGTCTTTTACAAACCTGTTCTCTAACCTCAACTAGGCTCTCACCACTGAACTGCAATCTTTTTTTTCCCCTATTGGAGAGCTCCTCATAGACGCTATTCCAAATCTCTTCCTATCTATTCTAGCCCATAACTCCTTCCTCCTCCAGTAGATGACTGTTTTCTTCTCCTCATTAAAAAGACTCATATAATCTATAGAGGGCTCTCTAATAATCTCCCTTATTACAGAAGGTATAAACTTCACCCATTCCTTTCTCTTGTTTCATCCTCAAAAGATGAAGTGGCACTTCTTGCCAAGGTCATTGGTGCCCTTGATTACATTTCCTGTTTTCTTTGGAAGCCTTCCTCAGTGGAGAATCCCCTTCTCTCTTTTTCAGGCTCTCCTAGCTCCCCCAGTCTATTGACTCCTACCCTCTTGTCCACAAACACTGAATCTTCCCTATCTTAAAAAATCAAAACAAAGAGCTACACTTTTCTTCACCTTTCTATCCCTTCAAGCTTTTGCCCTACATATTTTCCATTTTCTTCCTCTTTTTTTTCGTCTCTTCCAGTCTTCCTACCTTATTGTACCTTATCCACCTATTGCTTGATCAGTAATGAGCTCTTTCTCAGTTTTTTTTTTTTAACCTTTCTGCATTTGACAATTTTAAACTGGTTTCCTCTTCTTTTCCTCTAGGCATTTTTTTTGGGGGGGGGAGGCAATCGGGGGTTAAGTGACTTGCCCAGAGTCATACAGCTAGTAATTGTCAGAGGCCGGATTTGAACTCAGGTCCTCCTGACTCCAAGGCCAGAGCTTTATCCACTGTGTCACCTAGCTGCCCCCCCAGGCATTTCTTAATACTATACTTTCCTAGGTCCTCAATCGGACCCTACCTGCTTAATGTCATCTGTAGTACCCTAAGTGTAGGTGTTCTATAAAGTTCTTCCCTGGGCCCTCTTTATATTCTTTCCTGTAATGATCTCCCATGCATTTCATGATTACCTCTATGCAGATGATACCTAATTCATCAATTTCTAATCTTCCTGAATTTTAGACCTACCTGGCTAGCTGCATGCTGGCCATTTCCACATGAATGTCCCTTTGGTATCTAACTTACCTAAAACTGAATTTATCCTTCTATAACTTACTAATGCACAGGTGGAACGTTGTTATTCCCTCACTCAAAAATCTTCAGTAATTCCCAGTTGGATAAAATAGAAGCTCCTTAGTTTTTCATTTGAAACCTTCACAATCTGGCTCCAGCCTACCTTGCGAACCTTATTTCGTGGCTAGTCTCCTCTCAACCTTATCCTATATTCCAGCCAAACTGTTCTAGTTTGAACTTTGAATGTCATCTGCTGTGTCAGGACTCTCTCATTCTTCCCCAATCCTACAATGCAGGCCCTCCTCATCTCATATATTGAAATGAATCTGTGATCTCATCAGTTTGAGAGTTCCTTCCAGCAATGCCAATTTTAACCATCTAGGCTTGCCCACTCTGTTCAGCGTTTATCTATTTTTTCCTAAACATTCACCAGCAGGGCTTCACCCAGTGTGTTAGAAGCCTTCCTCAATTTCTTCCAAACATTACAAAGATACAGTAGAACACTCAGGCTCTCTACCTGTCATCACTCTCTTGTAACATCACCAATCTTGTCATAAATTCCTTGATGACATCCTTTACATTTGTTCATCTTCAGAGTTCCTTGTCGGTTATAAGGCTGCGCCCATCCTTCATCTGTTCACCTTTCTCTATGTGTGACAGTCATCTTTAATATTTCAGAGGCAGTGATATTTCCAATTTGCTGCCATATAGTAACTCCAGTAAAATGTTAGTGTTGAACCAATCTGTATTTATACCTGTTAAAATAATTTTCTTTCAAGGCTCAGCTCAGGGACTACATCTTCCAGGAAAGTTTCCTATCTGCTTGCTCTCCTTTGACTCCATGACACCCTTATCTTGTATCAAATTTACCTGTGTGTGGGACTATAGCCCTCTTAGTAGAATGTAAGTTCCCTGAAGACCAAGACTTTTTTTTATCTTTCTATCCTCTTTGTGTGTCATGGTGCCTTGTTGAATAGTTCTTAATAAATGCTTGCTGAAGGGAAGGGATAGATCAGTGACACTGAGATGGGGCAATGTTAGTACTGCATTTTTAGGTAAACTTTCTTGGTTTGTATTAATAGGTTTGATGGAGAGGAGGGTTCACTCTGGGTAATATAATGGAATAGAAAAGGGATTGCTTATTGGTCTGTTTCACACTTTACAAGATGCCATGGTTCCTAGTTAACTGGTTACAGTCTTTGCACATTAGGGCTGCTTTTGTCTTTGCATGGGGTAGGTGATCAGCAACAGGAAAGAGAAGAGCTGTCCTGGAAGGAAAGAATCAGGAACTCAAAATGAAGAAAACCAGAGGTAAGAGGTGGAAGGAGACTGGTTTGGCAGGATGTAGACAGAAATACTTTTCTATTCTCTGAAGAACTGCCTGATATATAGTTAACTTTACATTCTACCTCTGTCCCTAAGTCCTTCCTACTGGGCCCTGCCCCAAACCCAGGCCAGCCTGTCTCTCCCACTTGCCAGGGAAAATGTTTGGAGACAGTTCAGGCTTTGATGTAACTAACCCTACACTCTAACCCTGAGTCCCTCCTTCCTTCCTTCCCTCCTTTGTTCCTACTCTCCCTCCTTTTTCCCCTCCCTTCTCCTTTCACTCACTCATCCTTCCTTCCCTTCCTCCCATCTCCTTCCCTCCTTCATTTTGTATTGAAGCTTTGACCTATTTTCTTTTCAACCTGGGCTGATTTGCCTGGCACCCCACACTCCCAAGGGCTCAACATAATGATGCTAAACTTAGGCAAGGTACCCAATTGGTTTTAGCTGTACTGCAGTTTAGAACTAAAGCAATCCACCAGCCTCATCTTCCCTCACACTGTTGGTTTGTATGATTTTGACCCTCAATTCTTTCTCTTTTGCTTTACCTAGAGATAGGTATGCATGTGCAGGTGGCCCTGACTGTCCTTTTC